TTTCTTTCTTTCTTTCTTTTCTTCCTTCCATTCCTTCCTTCAATTCCTTCCTCCCTTCCCTCCCTTCCTCCCTCCCATTGATCCCATCCCTCTCTCCCTCCCTTTCCTTCCTTCCCTCCTTTCTTCCTTCCTTCTGTCCACCCATTCTACTCTCATCCCTCCCTTCCTCCCTTCTTTCCTTCCTTCCTTTTCTTCGATTTCTTTTTCTTTCTTTTTCTTTCTCTTTCCTTCCATTCCTTCCTCCCTACCTTCAATTCCTTCCTTTAATATCTTCCTTCAATTCCCTTCCTTCCTTCCCTCCCTCCCTCCCATTGATCCCATCCCTCCCTTCCTTCCTTTCCTTCCCTCCCTCCCATTGTTTCCTTCCTTCCTTCCTTCCTTCCTTCCTCCCTTCCTTCAAATACATTATGAAAAGTGTTAATGCAGGAGGAAAAAAAGGCCGATGTGAAGAAATCTTTTTCAAAAGGCATCGCAGTGCCGGCCAAGGATCTCGTGTGGCCCGAATCTTCCCGTGGAATCCGTCGTGTGCCTGCAGGCAATGCAATGCCGGGGCGTCAGGCCTGTCCCAGCTGGGACCTTTAGGAAAGAAAGACCCTGGACTCCATTTGTAGCAAAAGGGATCCTTTTACTAAAGCCAAGTAGTTGCAGCACAAACAGAGCCGGATCTGAATGTTCCCGTTCAAAACCTGCCTTTTTCATATTTCCCGGGCCCTCCCCACTGACCATTCACGAGTGCCCAATAATACAGCTAGTCCTCTAGTTACAACAGTTCCTTCAGTGACTGTTCAAAGTTACACAGACCTGTGACTGTTCCTCACGGTTAATGACTGTTGCAGCACCCCTACGGGTCATGTGATCCAAATTCAAACCCTCGGCAACCGACTCGGGACGGTCACAGCGTTCCCATGGTTACGTGATCCAGTCTCGCAACTTTCGGACAAGCCAAGTCAACGGGGACGCCAGATTCATTGAACAAACCGGGCTACTAACGAAACAAACGCAGAGTTTCGCTTAACAACAACCGTGGCAAGAAAAGTCGTTAAAACGGGGCAAAACTCACTGGACCAATGTTTCACTTAGCAACGTAAATTCTGGGCTCAGTTGTGGTCGTACCTTGAGGACTATATTTGAATTTGGCATTTTGGTAACCGCTTTACGGTTGGCGCCTCGTTGGTGTTACTTCACATTCTGTTCTCATGCTCCCGCCCTTAGTCTCTTCCGGATTGGCACCTCCGATTCCCGTCGCCCCTCCCCACTGCATTCCCTTTCTCTCCCCCTCCCACATTTTAGGGCAGGATGCCAGCGGAGGGAAGCGGGTCGAAGCGTTTGCGGTGGCAGACCTGACGCAGGGCTCTCGGATCTCTCTCCCCGTTGGGGGAGACGTCGGCCAGGAAATTTTTCCCCCTCTCGCTTTCCCTCCCCAGGGCCCCGATTTCGGCTACGTGACCCAGGAGCCCCTCTTTGAGGTCGTCACCAGCTTGGACTCCTTTGGGAACCTGGAAGTCAGCCCCCCGGTCTCTGTCCATGGGAAGGAGTATCCTCTGGGCAGGATCCTCACTGGAAGCAGCTTCCCCACGTAAGCGGGAGAGGTTTGGGGAAGCTGGGAAATGCACTTTATTTATTTGTAGGCATATTATGGCAGCATACTCACCGTTCCCTTCCTTCTCTCGTTTCTTTCCTTCCACCCAACCATTCTTCTCTCATCCCTCCCTCTTTTCATTCCTTCCTTCTATCCAACCATTCTTCTCTCATCCCTCCTTTCCTTCCTTCCTTGCTTCCATCTAACCATTCTCTCATCTACTTTCCTCCTTTTCCTTCCTTCCTTCTGTCCACCCATTCTCTCATCTCTCCCTATCTTCCTTCCTCCCACCCTTTTTCCTTCTTTCCATCTACCCATTCTTCTCATTCTTCCCTCCCTCCTTCCTTCATTTTCTTTTTGTCCACCCATTCTTCTCATCCCTCCATCATTCCTTCCTTCTGTCCACCCATTCTCATCCCTCCCTCCCAACTTTTCTCTCATCCCTCTTTTCCTTCCTTCCATCCAACCATTTTCTCATCTCTCCCTTTCTACCTTCCTTCCTTCCTCCCACCCACCTTTTTTCCTTCTTTCTGTCTACCCAATTATTCTTCTCATTTCTCCCTCTTTCCTTCCTTCCTTCCTTCCTTCCTTCCTTCCTTCCTTCCTTCCTTNAAAGATGATTAGGGGCCAGGAGGCTACAACTTACGAAAAACGGTTGTAGGAATTGGGTATGTCTAGTCTAGTGAAAAGAAGGACCAGGGGTGACATGACAGCAGCATTCCAACATTTGAGGGGCTGCCCCAAAGAAGAGGGAGTCAAGCTATTCTCCAAAGCACCAAAATGCAAGGAAAGAAACAATGGTTGGAAACTATAACCACGGAGAGAAGCCACCTTAGAACCAAGGAGATACTTCCTAACAGTGAGAACAAGTAACCAGTGGAACGGCTTGCCTTCAGAAGTTGTGGCTGCTCCATCACGGAAGGCTTTAAAAAGAGACTGGACAGCCATTTGTCTGAAATGGTATAGGGTCTCCTGCTCAAGCAAGGGGTTGGACTAGAAGATCTCCAAGGTCCCTTCCAGCTCTATTATTCTATGTTCTATGCTAAAGGGATTGGTGGCCTAGTCTTAACCTTCTAAATTAGGTTCCCAACCCCTGGTACCGGGCCACAGCATGCCAGCAACTGGTCCGCACAAACAAGCAAAGCCCCATCCGTGGGATGCAGGCAGCACACAAAACTACACACTCTCCAGTCCGTGGAAAAACCTTTCTCTATGGAACCAGTCCCTGGTGCCCAAAAGATTGGGGGCCATGCTCTAAATAAGGTTTCTAGCCCCTTAAACCCCCAGGAGCTTGCTAGTGTGTTAGGATTTTTCCCAGCAGGCACAACGCAGGAGGAATCCAGCCTTAATGCACCTCTGATTGCAGAGAGTTGTTTTCAAGGCCCCATGTCAATTTGTGGCGTTCGGAAACGGAATGCGCAAACGGGACGCTCATATTTTAGGGATGGCGTATGCTACAGCCCTCCTGCCAAGAATGGAAGTGGTGCATCTGAAGGGCCCAGACATTCTGGGCCAAGGACTTCATCAAGGACTCCTGCCCCCCCCAGCGCAAACGTGCTGACCCCCCCAAAAAACTCTGTACGGTCCCCAATATGGATCCTGCCCACACCTCGGCACCCCTGAATTTTTTTGGGGGGGGGAGGGGTTGCCTGTGCATTTAGCCGGATCTCTTGCGGCGAGGCGCTAGCACGTGGCTGTTTCTGAAGGGTAACCGGTAACCGGAGCCGAGAGCGAGACGCCGCTAGTGTTTCACGGAGACGGTTCTTTACCATACGTGGACTGGTCGTTCCTAAATATAGGGAATCCATCATTTTCCAGCCTCCAATGAGGACAAGTGCTCCTGAATTGGTCACGGGGAGAAAGAAATATCAGATCTCTCTCACTTTTGCTAAAAATCCAGGTTAGTTGGCGGACCGCAACCTTGAAAACAATTTTTTTATCCGCCTCCTGCACTTTGTTCGGCAAAGCACTCAGAGGGGAAAAAAAAAAACCTAGAAGCCAGAGTGCTTTAAATATTAAACATCCCCATCTTTTGTTTAATCTTTCCTCTCCTCACCCCTGCCTTTGTGCCTTCTCATTTTCCAACGAGGCAACTTAGCTAGCTCTCTCTCGCCCACAGCTCAGTGTCCGTAGCCTCTTGAGAGGCACTTAATGGAAAAACGAGACCAGGAAGAATTAATTTGTCAGTGGGACAGAGAACAGCAGGACGAAAAGTCGGTAGAGATCTGGGTGGCGTTTTGGGACTTAGTGAAGTTTTCTAGAGATTGCTGGCCTTATCTGGCTGTTTTTGCGCCCCGCCAGTTGTTGACTTGAAGAAAAATAGTAAAAAAAAAGAAGTTTGCCAGTCTAGAGAAAAGAAGAAATACGGGTGACATGATAGTAGTATTCCAGTATCTCAGGGGCTGCCCCAAATAAGAGGGAGTCAAGCTATTCTCCAAAGCGCCTGAAGGCAGGACAAGAAGCAACGGATGGAAACTCATCAAGGAGAGAAGCAACCTAGAACTAAGGAGAAACTTCCTGACAGTGAGGACAATTAACCAGTGGAACAGCTTGCCTCCAAAAGTCGTGGGTGCTCCATCACTGGAGGTTTTTAAGAAGAGACTGGACAGCCACTTGTCTGAAATGGTATAGGTTCTCCTGCTTGAGCAGGGGGCTGGACTAGAAGACCTCCAAGGTCCCTTCCAGCTCTATTTTGATTGAAACATGTTGCTGCTTTGGCCAAGGACTTGGCAGTGATTTCCTTCCACTTTTTAAAGCAACTGCTTTGCCCCACGAGTAGAACATACATTAAAATCATGTAGACACGTTTGAGGCTTCTGTTGCAAGTGCTTGGAGGGATTGCAACATGCCGGTTGCTAATCCCCGGGGAATTTGCAAGAAAGCTAAAAAAAGGAACAGGGCAGCCAAGTTGAAGGAAGGCGGCTTTTGTTTCCACACCTCGCGGAGAGTTAATTGCCTGTTTTAACTTTTAGCAGAAGCAAGCAGAAACGGAGGCTGTAACCCAAGCCTTTCTCCTGCTTCGCCTCCCCACTTTCAGAGCCTGGACGCGGGCGGGAAAAACGCACGGGAATTGGGACCGTTTGGAAGGACAAAAGGTTGGAAAAACAGTTGTGCAAGATTTCCCAAATCTGTAGGGTCAGCTGGCGCTTGGCTTCGTCTCTCAAGAGTGCTCCAGCCTCATACACGCCGGCGTGGGCACACACAGACAGGCCATCTTGTGCCAACCAGAAGAGTTTGCCCAGACTTGGAGATTTCTTCCTTTCTTCGGCTCAGCGACGAAGATGAAGGTGACCCGGCGCCAATCTCCTGGAGCCCGTGGTTGGCATCAGGATCCCGACATGCATACCTGGCAGGGCGGACTGCCCTTCCCTCTGTCTGTTCCAGCAGCCCATGTGGATGGAATTACACCCGTATCGCCTGGATGCAAGCCGGCTAATTCATAGCAAAGCCACCCTGGCACCCTCCCCTGGACTTGAGTGGGTCTCCATTTCAAAGCTTTTTCTGTCCCGCTCTCTTCCTCCTTCCTGCCCTGAGTGAGATTTATTTATTTTTTGCAAGGAGGAAAGACCTCTAGCGGCTTCTAGCAGGACGAGTGGCTTGGCTGCAGAGGGATTGGCAGCCCAGATTCCACAGGTGTGACGGGCGGATAAGGTGGGCCTGCCTCCCCTTTCCAGCTAAGTCGGATCTCCTTGGCTCGGCCCGGCTTGAGTCGTCTGAAACGTTTCAGGGAAGGGTCTGAACGAGGACCACGCAGGAGGATATTTCTGCGGATTTTATGCTGGGGGAAGCTGTGGGGCTCTGTCTGTGCACAGGAAACCACAGCTCTGAAGGAGCTTCTTCAGTGACAGGTGTGCCTCCCTCCTTCCCTTCCTCCCTTTGACCCTCCCTCCCTTCCTTCCTTCAATTCCTCCCTCCCTTCCTTCCTTCAATTCCTCCCTCCCTTCCTTCCTTCTTTTCCTTCCTTTCTTCCTTCCTTCCTCTCTCCCTTCAATTCCTTCTTTTCCTTCCTTTCTTCCTTCCTTCCTCTCTCTCTTCAATTCCTTCTTTCCTTTAATTCCTTCCTTCCCTCCCTCCCTCCCTCCCATTGATCCCATCCCTCCCTCCCTCCCCTTCCTTCCTTCCTTNTTTCTTTCTTTCTTTCTTTTCTTCCTTCCATTCCTTCCTTCAATTCCTTCCTCCCTTCCCTCCCTTCCTCCCTCCCATTGATCCCATCCCTCTCTCCCTCCCTTTCCTTCCTTCCCTCCTTTCTTCCTTCCTTCTGTCCACCCATTCTACTCTCATCCCTCCCTTCCTCCCTTCTTTCCTTACTTCCTTTTCTTCGATTTCTTTTTCTTTCTTTTTCTTTCTCTTTCCTTCCATTCCTTCCTTCCTTCCTCCCTACCTTCAATTCCTTCCTTTAATATCTTCCTTCAATTCCCTTCCTTCCCTCCCTCCCTCCCTCCCATTGATCCCATCCCTCCCTTCCTTCCTTTCCTTCCCTCCCTCCCATTGTTTCCTTCCTTCCTTCCTTCCTTCCTTCCTCCCTTCCTTCAAATACATTATGAAAAGTGTTAATGCAGGAGGAAAAAAAGGCCGATGTGAAGAAATCTTTTTCAAAAGGCATCGCAGTGCCGGCCAAGGATCTCGTGTGGCCCGAATCTTCCCGTGGAATCCGTCGTGTGCCTGCAGGCAATGCAATGCCGGGGCGTCAGGCCTGTCCCAGCTGGGACCTTTAGGAAAGAAAGACCCTGGACTCCATTTGTAGCAAAAGGGATCCTTTTACTAAAGCCAAGTAGTTGCAGCACAAACAGAGCCGGATCTGAATGTTCCCGTTCAAAACCTGCCTTTTTCATGTTTCCCGGGCCCTCCCCAATGACCATTCACGAGTGCCCAATAATACAGCTAGTCCTCTAGTTACAACAGTTCCTTCAGTGACTGTTCAAAGTTACACAGACCTGTGACCGTTCCTCACGCTTAACGACCGTTGCAGCACCTCTACGGGTCACGTGATCCAAATTCAAACCCTCGGCAACCGACTCGGGACGGTCACAGCGTTCCCATGGTTACGTGATCCAGTCTCGCAACTTTCGGACAAGCCAAGTCAACGGGGACGCCAGATTCATTGAACAAACCGGGCTACTAACGAAACAAACGCAGAGTTTCGCTTAACAACAACCGTGGCAAGAAAAGTCGTTAAAACGGGGCAAAACTCACTGGACCAATGTTTCACTTAGCAACGTAAATTCTGGGCTCAGTTGTGGTCGTACCTTGAGGACTATATTTGAATTTGGCGTTTTGGTAACCGCTTTAAGGTTGGTGCCTCGTTGGTGTTACTTCACATTCCGTTCTCACGCTCCTGCCCTTAGTCTCTTCCGGATTGGCACCTCTGATTCCTGTCGCCCCTCCCCACTGCGTTTCCTTTCTCTCCCCCTCCCACGTTTTAGGGCAGGATGCCAGCGGAGGGAAGCGGGTCGAAGCGTTTGCGGTGGCAGACCTGACGCAGGGCTCTCGGATCCCTCTCCCTGTTGGGGGAGACGTTGGCCAGGAAACTTTTCCCCCTCTCGCTTTCCCTCCCCAGGGCCCCGATTTCGGCTACGTGACCCAGGAGCCCCTCTTTGAGGTCGTCACCAGCTTGGACTCCTTTGGGAACCTGGAAGTCAGCCCCCCGGTCTCCGTCCACGGGAAGGAGTATCCTCTGGGCAGGATCCTCACTGGAAGCAGCTTCCCCACGTAAGCGGGAGAGGTTTGGGGAAGCTGGGAAATGCACTTTATTTATTTGTAGGCATATTATGGCAGCACACTCACCGTTCCCCTCCTTCTCTCGTTTCTTTCCTTCTCTCATCCCTCCCTCTTATCCTTCCTTCCTTCTACCCAACCATTTTTCTCTCACCCCTCTTTTCCTTCCTTCCTTGCTTCCATCCAACCATTCTCTCATCTCTCCCTTTCTACGTTCCTCCCTTTTTCCTTCCTTCCTTCTGTTCACCCATTCTCGCATCTCTATTTTCCTTCCTCCCACCCTCTCCTTTTTCCTTCTATTACCCATTCTTCTCTCATCCTTCCCTCCCTCCCTTCCTTTCCTTCCTTCTGTCCATCCATTCTTCTCTCATCCCTCCCTTTTCTTCCTTCTTTTTGTCCACCCATTCTTCTCTCATCCCTCCGTCACTCCTTCCTTCCCTTCCTTCTCTGTCCACCCATTCTTCTCATCCCTCCCTCCCTTTCTTCCTCCCTTCTCCCTCCCAACTATTCTTCTCTCATCCCTTTTCCTTCCTTCCTTCCATCCATCCAACCATTCTCTCATCTCCCTTTCTATCTTCCTTCCTCCCACGAACCCTTTTTCCTTCTTTCCGTCTACCCAATTATTCTTCTCATCTCACCTCATCTCTCCCTCCCTCCCTCTCCTTCCTTCTGTCCACCCATTCTCCTTCCTTCCTTCCTTCCTTCCTTCCTTCCTTCCTTCCTTCCTTCCTTCCTTCCTTCCTTCCTTCTTTCCTTCCTTCCTTCCTTCCTTCCTTCCTTCCTTCCTTCCTTCCTTCCTTCCTTCTGTCCACCCATTCTACTCTCATCCCTCCCTCCCTCCCTTCCAGCTCTGGGGGACGCCGTATGACCAAGGTGATCCGCAACTTCCTCCATGCCCAGCGGGTCCAGTCCCCGGTGGAGCTGTATTCAGACTGGCTGACCGTCGGCCACGTGGACGAGTTTGTGACCTTCGTTCCCAGCCCTGGCAAGAAGGCAAGACGGGCACAACTCCCCTTTCCTGCTTCCTCTCCCCGCCTTCTCCCAGTGGGCATGGCTTTCTGGCGCCCTTCTCCGCTGGGCTTCCAAAGAGGGCCTCCCGCTGGGTTGCTCCAACCCCCGAGATGAATAACAGTAATAATAATAATAACAATTTATTAAACGTGGGTGCCGCCGGATGCCCGACGTCTGGGAAGCAGGGAGGGTCTCACTTCACCCGTGCCACCTGCCCCCTCCCCCAATCTGACCGGCCCCCTCCTCCTTCCTTCCTTCCCCCAGCAATTCCGGATGCTCATGGCCAGCCCCTCCGCCTGCTACAAGTTCTTCAGAGAAAAGCAGAAAGAAGGCCATGGAGAAGCCACCATGTTTAAAGGTGGGCAGTCTCCAGCATCCCCAGGTGCAGATATTTGCCTGGTGGGGCGGGGGGGAGGCAGCAGAAACGGAGTGAACACTAGTGAGGTGCTCTTCCTTAAGACTTGGAGGAAGCCTGCAAGTGTGTGCCAGCAGCAGTGCAATTTGTGTGCCGGAGGGAGCATGGCCAACGCATCGGGGTGTGTGCGCTTCTGCACAGCCCTGCCATCTGCTGGAAACCAGCTGCAGAAGCTGCAAACTAGGTGTCTGGACAGGAAAGGATGCGGTGGCATTTATGCGCCCGCTTTTACCCCGGGCTCTAAAGCAGATGCGTGGGACCGGCAGCTTTTTCGGCCGCGAGGGTGTGCAGCGGGCGGGCAGGGCTGCGATCCTAGTGGAGGCAGGTGGCTCCATCGGAGAGCTAGTGAGGGACCAGGAAGAGCAGCGCCCGGAGCAGGTGGGGGGCGATCCCGAAAAGGGTGACATTTTATTGCCCGACAGCAATAACTTGCCTCCCAAGTGGGCCATTCCTCTTCATTTGAAAAGGAGGTGAAGGGGACGTAAATCACCGGGCTTCCCAGTTCCACGAAGGGGAGTCGACTCCAACAGAGATCAGCTGCCAGGCCCGGGGGTCCCTGGGCACTGCCTGGCTGCGGCCTTTGCTTCGCCGGTTCTGCCTTCCTGGCCAGGGGCAGGTGGGCTTTGAAGGGGTCTGAAAAAGTGGAGGGTTTTTTCTTGCGCCTCCCACATTGTGGTCATCCACAGGAGGACACAACCCCTCACGTCTGCACGCTCTCTCTCTCTCGCTCTCTCCCTCCCTCTCCCTTTCTCTCTCCCTCCCTCTCTTCCTCTTTCTCTCCTTCCCTCCCTTTCTCTCTCCCTCCCTCTCCCTCCGTTCTTTCTCTCCCTCCCTCCCTCCCTTTCTCCCTCCTTCCCTTTCTCTCCCTCCCTCCCTTCCTCTCCCTCCCTCCTTCCCTTTCTCTTCCTCCTTCTCTCTCCCTCCTTCTCTCCCTTCCTCTCCCTCCCTTCCTCCTGTCCATCCCTTCCTCTCTCCCTTCTTTCTCTTCCTCTCTCTCTCTCTCTCTCTCTCTCCTTCTCTTTCTCTCTCTCTCTCTCCCTCCCTCTCTCTCTCTCTCCAGGATACTCTGGCACAGACACCAAACGCGTCACCATCAACAAGGTCCTTTCCAACGAGATTATGGTGCAGGAGAACCAGTATGTGCAGGTGAGGCTTTGCAGGGAGGGGTGTGTGTGTGTGTGTGTGTGTGTAACTTTGCTTTCCATTTGCCTCTCTAAATCCCCTTATGCTTTATTCCTGGTCACCTTCTAACTTTGGTGGGTCAAAAGAGATTTGAGAAAACCATAATCAGAGCAAAATAACAGAATAACAGAATTGGAAGGGCCCTTGGAGGTCTTCTAGTCCAACCCCCTGCTCAAGCAAGGGACCTTGCAGTATTAGGGGCAGCGCAATGGTGAACAGAATGCGAAGGATGTGTATGTTCTTATTTGTGGTTTTTACTTGTGTGCAGTGTGCACGGTGGACAGCATTTAATTTCGTTGCGAGTTAAACAATGACAAAAGACCCATAATTCTATTCCGACAAGCAAAGTCAAGCCAGAGTCACTTAGCGACCATGTGGCTTAACTTAGCAACTGCAGTGATTCGCTTAGCAGCCGTGGCGAGAAAAGTCCCCAAAACGGGACCCAACTCGCTCCATAAATGTCTCACTTAGCAACATAAAATTTTTCGGCTCGGCTGTGTGTGGCCGTAAATTGAGGACTGCCTGTAGTTTCTCGTGGATCTTTTTGGGGTTGCATTTCTCCCATCTTACGACGTGTCCTTCTAGCTGTGGCTTCCCGTGAGTGAAGAGCCCCCCACCCCAGGAGGACCCCATCTGACAGAGAAGTGGGGAGGGGGCTGTTTGGGGGTCTCCTAATCCTGGGTCTGGCCTCTGCTTCCTCCCCCCCCCCAGAGGTGCATCGACTGGAACCGCGACATCCTCAAGAAGGAACTGGGCCTGAAAGAGGAAGACATTATCGACCTGCCCGCCCTCTTCAAGATGGACAGAGAAGGGAAAGCAATGGCTTACTTTCCCAACATGGTGAGCCTGGGGGAGGGGGGCACACTGCTCTCCAAGCCCCCAGCCCCACCAAGTCTTGGCAACACCTGTTTGGACCTTCCTTTGCCCCCCCCCCTTCTCACCTTTTTAAAAATTGCACATTTGCTTCTTGCAAAACCAGTCCCTGCAGACATTGGGACCTGAGTTTGACCTGGGTTTGGGTGGGCCCGATGGACGGAGTGAGGAAAGCCCCCCCCCCAAAAAATAATAATAATCAGGAATGGCAGCCTTGGGGATGCTGAAAGGGACCTGTGGAGGTGGTGGCTGCAGGTCAGCTGCTGTTCTGCCTCCTTGCATTATCTAGGAGGGCGGATAATAGCCACAGCACTTAAAAGACTTATATACCGCTTCACAGTGCTTGACAGCCCTCTCTAAGCGGTTTACAGAGTCAGCCTGTTGACCCCCCCAACAATCTGGGTCATTTTATCGACCTCGGAAGGATGGAAGGCTGAGTCATCCTTGAGCAGGTCAGGATCGAACTCCTGGCAGTGGGCAGTCAGCCTGCAATACTGGGAGGGAGAGAGGGAAGGAGGGAGGGAGGGAAGGAAGGAAGGAAGGAAAGGAGGGAGGGACAGCAATAGTACTTATATCCCGCTTCACACTGCTTTGCAGCCTTCTCTGAGCGCTTTACAGACCCAGCCCATTGCCCCCCCCCCCCCACAATCTGGCTCCTCATTTTACCGACCTTGGAAGGACGGAAGGCTGAGCCAACCATTGACTTGGGATCGAACTGCTGGCAGTGGGCAGAGCCAGCCTGCAATTCTGCATTCTAACCTTTGCGCCACCGCGGCTCTTAAGGGCCGTGTCCTGCCAGGTGCTCGCTTATCCCCTCCCCAGCCGGCTTCCGAAACACAAGGCCATTTCTGCCCCCCCCCCAAAATCCTCTCCCTCACCCCCCGACCCAACTCCTCCTGGGCTTGGCTTTTCTCTAGCGTGGTGCCCCCCTCCCTTGTTTAGCCCTCCCTTTCGCTCTGCCTTCTCAGGTGAACATGATCGTGCTGTCCCGAGACCTGGGCGTCCCCAAACCCTTTGGGCCCATCATTGAGGGGGAGTGTTGCCTGGAGCAGCACGTCTCCTCCCTGCTGGAGCCCCTGGGCCTGGCCTGCACCTTCATCGACGACATCTCCTCCTACCACAAGCTCCTGGGAGAGGTCCACTGCGGCACCAACGTCCAGCGGAAGCCCTTTGCCTTCAGCTGGTGGAAGGTGGTCCCCTGAGAGGGGGGCCGCCGCCGCTCACCGGGAAGACGAGAGGGGGAGCCGGTTTCTCACACACACACACGTCGGCCTTCTCTGTGCCTGGCGGACCTGCCGGAGCCGGCCTGCTTGAGGAACCGTGCGGGTCAGCGGGTGCTGCGGGGAAAAAAACTGTCTGTCTGAACACTACAGAGAAGCGTGTTGTGTTGATTGGACACAAGACTCTTAACCTCTTTAAGGAGTGTTTGCAGGACCCAACTGGGTGTCCTGACAACTGTGTGTGTGGTGTGGGTTTTCTTCGCCCCCCCCAATTCCTTCCTTTTCTTTCTCATTTTTCTTTTCTCCTTCTCCCTCTTTTCTGCCTTTCTTTCTTCCTTTCTCCCTCCCTTTATTTTCCTTCCTTCCTCTTTCACTCACTCTTTTCTCCCTTTCTCCTTTTCTGCCTTTCCCTTTCTTCATTTCTCCCTCCCTCTTTATTTTCCTTCCTTCCTTCCTTTCCTTTCTCTTTCTCTCTCTTATTCACTCACTCACTCACTCACTCACTCATTCTTTTCTCCCTTTCTTTTCTGCCTTTCCTTCTTCCTTTCTCCCTCCCTCTTTATTTTCCTTCCTTCCTTCCTCTTTCTTTCTCTCTCTCATTCACTCACTCATTCTTTTCTCCCTTTCTTCTTTTCTGCCTTTCCCTTTCTTCCTTTCTCCCTCTCTATTTTCCTTCCTTCCCTTCCCTCCTCTAATGTAGCCAAGACAAAGCCCCTTCCGCACAGGTGGGGGTGCGTGTTGCAGCTCTCGGCCTTTGTTGAGGGGGGCCACTGTGGAACAACAGGAATAAAAACGAGGTGACAAACGGTTGTGGCCTGGCCATTTTTGCAGAGCGTGTGCTGGGGGGGGGGTGTTGCAGAGTGTGGTGTTCCTTCCCGAAGAGGGACTTGCAGCAACGATTTCGTATTTTTATTATCCCTTTGAACAAACCACTTCTGGTGCTGCTAGTAAGACTTCTTGCCCCCCACAAACTCACGCACCGTTCCACAGCCAGAATAACAGCTTACCTGAGGAAATTTGGGGGGGGGGAGAGAGAGGAAAGTTTGAGGTTGAACTAAAAGCTTTTCAGCTTGGATTGGAAGGAGACCCGGCTGTTCTGGAGAGATAGTTTTTGGTGGGGGGGGAAAAGCCACTGGGAGGGAGCAACGGAGAGACCGAAGACACGAACGCTTTCAGCAGAAGGGAAAAAAAATTCTTGTTTCGCTCCCCACCTAATCCCCTAAACTTGGTTAATTTAATGTGGGATTCTTTTTGCGGCTCTCTTAGGCTGCCCGAATCTGTCCCGTTTGAGGGTTCAGTGGCGTTGTAGAAAACGGGCGGATTTAACAACTCTTCTATGTGGATGCAGATAATGCTGCAGGCCTTGAACAAAAGGGGTGTTGCTAGACAAAACCTGGCTGGAATTTCCTTTCATCCCGACAACCAGCATCTCGGCCAAGCTTGCGGCACCCCAGTGTCTGGATTTTGGGGTGCCAGGCACAGAGAAGAACAAAAAGGGAGAGCAGGGCACCAAATGCAGCGCGGAAATGGAGCCTAAAATCGCTCGGTTCTGGCTCAGCCTTCCCGACGGCCCCCATCAGCCTCCTACCATTCCCCCCCCCAAAATTCATAAAACATAAAGCCTTACGAGACAGCTCCATCTACTGGACAATCTTTTAATTACAGACTCGGGGTAAAGGTGTACATAAAAAAGCTCCCCTCTGGCACGGAAGCCCCAGCTGAATTCTCTGGCCGTCCCCCTGCCCAAACCCATCCAGTAACATTTTCCTCCCCTTCCCCCTCCAGACACCCCCTTTACACCCCACCCTGGCAGCCCCCCCTCCCATTTAATAGCATGAATTAAGCCAATGCTGCCCTCTTGTGGCCAGCTTGGAGTGTGGTCACATGTTAACAGTTGCATTTAGCACCAAGTTTTCCTTCCTGACAACTTGTATTCTGAAACGGGACAGCTTTGCTTTTAACCACACAGGTCAGCGCAGACCCTGCTGACTTTGGAGGGTTCCCACATTCAGGATACCCAGAACAGGGATCAATTAATTCAGCAGTCAGGTTATGCTTGCGTAGACGCAGCTAAAGCAGCCTCGTCCCTCAAGTCTTTGAATGCGGAGGCTGGCCAGCGTGGAACCAAGCCTCTCGTTTAACACCGTAAACAGCCAATAATTCTATTCCCCCCCCCCCCTTTTTACAACAAACACATCCTAGGGGTTACAAGACAAACCTCCCATTGAACGTTAAAGACCCGTTAGCCCTATTTATTTTCTGGCTGGTCTGCTTGTTCCCTCCGCTTCCTGCCCGGCTAAGAAGCAGGAATTAAAAACCAGTTCAGATCCGTAGTGTGGGCCTTCCTTCCCTCCCTCTTTCCCTGTCTCCCTCCCCACTTTTTGCAAAAATGACAGGACAGGGGGAAAAGCATGCAAAAACAAAAGAGTTGCCCGAACAAGGCCGACAATGAGAACACAAGACAGCCCTCCACCTTAAAAGCCCCCCCCCCAACTCCCCATTATACCCTTCCTCACTGCGTCTGGGAAGCGGCAAGCGTCTTAGATCCCCCCCGGAGGGAGTCCAAGGCCCATCGTTCACGAGAGCTGCTTTCCACGCTCTGCCCGCCTAGGGGAATCCTGACCAGCCCGGTTCCCTGCTTGTTCAGTCCTGGCAGCTGGAAAAATTATTCCAGACAAGCTCACATTTTGCCAGCATCGGGCTAATTTCTCCCTTCTGCGCCGGGAAGAGACGAGACCAGGAGAGTCCTTAGATCCGGATGGTGTTGATCCGGAGCGGCTGCACGTTCTTCCCGTTGGCGTGGCTCTGTCCGGGGCTGAAGTAGGAGCAGAGTTTCCCCGGGAACTTCTCCCGGAAGGTGTAAAGCCACGCCATATCATCCGCGTTGTAGAAAATGAGCAGCCCCTTGGCGTAGTCCAGGAAGACCCCCACCTTCTCCAGCTTGCTCTTGACGTTCAGCCGCGTCCAGGGCTCAGTGCAGGCGCTGTACTGGTTCCCGTCGTGCATGACGATGCAGTAGAAGCCGCGGCTCGGCTGGATCTGGATGTTGCCCTTGCGGGTGACGGCCTCGTGGGCCAGCCCGATCATCCACTGGGTCTTCTCCGAGACCACCACCTCCCAGTAGTGGATGCCGCTGTTGAAGGCCGCCGAGCCCAGCACCGACACCTCCACGTCGAAGCGCTTGGGCGAGTCCTGCAGCGGCTGCGGGTGCAAGTTGCCGTAGGAGACGATGGTGCAGTCGTCGGAGAGGATCAGGCGCTGGTGAGCGGTGGCCGGGTCCAGGGTCAGCGTGGCAGGCACTGGGGGAGGGAAGAGAGAAGCCAGAGTGAGGTCACCTGGATGGAGAGGGGGTCACCACAGAGAAGTCAACGCCAAATAGGATAAGCGTGGGGAGTGAATTCCTTTGGGAGAGGTTAAATTGCCATCTGGATGTCTGAAGGCCCGGGGTGGCCTTCCTTACCATCGATGGTGGCACACTGGTTAGAATGCAGGATTAGGCTGCTTCTGCTGACTGCCAGCAGTTTGGCAGTTCGAGTCTCACCAGCTCAAGGTTGACTCAGCCTTCCATCCTTCCGAGGTCGGTAAAATGAGGACCCAGATTATTAGTGGCAAAAGGCTGACTCTGTAAACCCCTTAGAGAGGGCTGCAAAACACTGTGAAGCGGTATATAAGTCTTATTGCTTGGGAAGGAAGGAAAGGAAGGAAGGAAGGAAGGAAGGAAGGATGAGAAGGAAGGGAAATAAGGAGAAGGAAGGAAGCCATGGTGGTGCAGGGGTTAGAATGCAGGATTGTAGGCTAATTTACTGCTCACTGCCAGGAGTTCGATCCTGACTGCCTCAAGGTTGACTCAGCTTTCCATCCTTCCGAGGTCGGTAAAATGAAGACCCCGATTGTTGGGGGCAAATATGCTGACTCTGTAAACAGCTTAGAGGAGGCTGTAAAGCACTGTGAAGTCTTATTAGGAAGGAAGGAAGGAAGGAAGGAAGGAAGGAAGGAAGGAAGGAAGGAAGGAAGGAAGGAAGGAAGGAAGGAAGGAAGGAAGGAAGGAAAATAAGAAGGAAAGAAGCTGTGGTGGTGCAGTGTTACAATGCAGCATTGCAGGCAAACTCTGCCCACAGCCAGGAGTTTGATCCTGACCGGCTCAAGACCCCGATTGTTGGGGGCAAATATGCTGACTCTGTCAACCGCTTAGAGAGGGCTGCAAAGCGCTGTGAAGCGGTATATAAGTCCAGCTGCTATTGCTCTCTACCTGGGCCAGGAGCCTGCTCACCTGGCTGGATGTCCTGGAAGAGGGATTTCCAGATGGTGTACTGCAGAGGCCCCATGTACTTCGAAGTGGGGAAGTCTTCGTAGGTGAGGTTAGTCTCGTGGATCTTCCCCTTCAGCCTTGGGGGGTGGGTGGGGGTGGGAAAGGAGACTGAGGTTAGCCACTGCGGTGCCCCTTGCCCCGCACCCTGGCTCCGCCCCCACAGCCCCCCCCCACCTCTCCGAGAGAGAGGCGATGCCGGCCAGGAAGCTGTGCTTGTCGGTTTCCGCCAGCCTTTCCTGCAGGATCTGGCTGCCCTCTTGCACTTTGCGCAGCTGCTGGCTGTAGCGCTGGATCTTCTGCTCGATGTCGGTCAGCGTCCGGGCCGTGTCGGCCTCCAGCTCCTCCAGCATGGCCTTCTGGCGTTCGCGCAGCAGCCTGTGCAGCCGCTCAAAGGCCTCGCCGATTGTGGCCCGCAGGCTCTTGGCCGAGGACTGGAAGACACAGGCAGGTAGGCACCGGATGAGTCCCGGTCCCCAGGGGATGGGAACGCCCGGGGCAGAGCCCCTGCCCGGCCCTTACCTTGGTCTCGGCCAGCTGGTGCTTCAGCAGAGCCAGGGCCTCCGTGTGGCCACGCTCGCTGTCCTGGAGGGTCTGCAGCTGCTCCTTCAGTTCCCTCTGGAATGAGACCGGCATTGGGGTGAGGGGCTCTCGGCTGTGTCTGGGCAGCCCCCAACTTGTCCCAGGCAGGATGGGATAGAGTGGGCACCCCCCCACTGGGAGCATCCACCATGGAGAAGCAGGAAGCCCCTCCCACCCCATGGCTGCTCCACAACAGGGGCAGAGCAGGGCCCCAGATGCCCTTGGCCAGCCTGGCACTCACCCCAAAGACATAATAGACCCTAGCTGCCCCCATGCCAGCCTGACACCCATCCTGGGGAGACAGGGAGTCCTGATGGCCAAGCATGGGAGGCAAGGCAGGGCCCCAAGTGCCCCCCCCCCACCCAGGGAAGCAGGAGTGCCGCTCCCACCTTGGAGACATTGCAGACCCCAGCTGCCAACATGCCAACCTGGCACCCACCCAGGAGAGACAGGGAGTCCTGATGGCCAAGCATGGGGGGCAAAGCAGGGCCCCAGCTGCCCCCTCCCCAGGGAAGCAGGAATGCCCCTTGGCCAGCCTGGTACCCACCTGGGCCAGAGGGGACTCCCAGCTGCCCCCATGTCAGCCTGGCCCCCATGCTGGGGAGACAGGGAGCCCCCATGGCTGCCCCCTCCCCAGGGAAGCAGGAGTGCCCTTTGGCCAGCCTGGCACCCACCCTGGAGACACAGCAGACCCCAGCTACCAACATACCAGCCTGGCCCCCATCCTGGGGAGTCAGGGAGCCCCGAGGGCCTGGCATGGGGGGCCAGGCAGGGCCCCAAGTGCCCCCCCAACCCAGGGAAGCAGCAGTGCCCCTCCCACCCTGGAGACACAGCAGACTCCCTGCTGCCCCCATGCCAGCCTGGCCCCCATCCTGGGCAGGCAGGGAACCCCCCCTGGCCTGGCATGGGGGAGGGGCCAGAGCTGCCCCCCCAGGAAAGCCCCTCCCCTGCCCCTCCCCCACCTGCATCTCCTCGAAGGCCTCGTCCAGGCCGGTGACCTGGTGCTGCTCGTGCAGGGCGGGCCGGTCGCAGAAGAAGCAGACGACGGCGCGGTCGCTCAGGCAGAAGAGGCGCACCTTGGCGTGGGCCTTCCCGCAGGGCGAGCCCCCGGCCCGGCCGCCCCTCCCTCCGCCGCCGCCCAGCGCCGCCTCGGGCGGGAAGGCGGCGAAGCGCTCCACGATGTTGGCCAGCTTGAGGCTGGGCGCCAGGGCGGGCGCCGAGAAGGCCCGGCGGCACTCGGGGCAGTCCCGGGCGGGCGCCGCCTGCGCCTCCTGCCGGCTCCAGTGCTCGGAGATGCAGCGGCGGCAGAAGTAGTGCTCGCAGCCGAAGCTGACGGGCTCCTGGTAGAGGCCCAGGCAGATCGGGCACAGCAGCTCGTCCTTCAGGCTGCAGCCCGGCGCCGGCACCGCCATGACAGCTTCTTCCTCAGACCGCCGATCTCGGTCGGCGCCTGCGCAGTAGAGGCCCCGCCCAGAAAACTTGACACCTCCAGACTAAAACGGAACCGATCTTCTCTCCGCCTTCGGGCGCTTCTCGGTAGGCGTTCCGCACTTCCGGTGGCCGGACCGGAAGCGGCGCCTGACTCGCCCGGCCCGTGCGTGAGGCCGCTCTGGGCCGCGCCGCCGTCGTCGGTGGTGGCTCTGTGACGCGGTAGAAGAGTGACGCCTGCGCGCTGAGGCGCTGCTCGGCCGCCATCTTGGTCGGGCTGAGGGGGATGGAGCCCGGCGGGGGCCGCCGCGAAAAGGTCCCGCCGCCGCCGCTGGTGCTGCCGCCCGCCAAGGGCAAGGAGGGCCCCGGGTCCGGCGGCGGTGGCGGTGGCGGCGGCGGCAACGCCCGCCTGGAGAAGGCCAAGCAGCGCTCGGCCCAGCAGGAGCTGAAGCAGCGGCAGCGCGCTGAGGTGGGCGGCGGTCTCTGAGGAGAGCCCTGAGGCGGGGGCCCGCCTGAAAATAGGGCTGCGGCCTACGAAACGCCTCTCTGAGCTCCCCCACAGGGAATGAAGCCCTCTTGACGGCGGGGTGTCTGTGTGTGTGGGGAGAAGCCTCCGGGCCTGGGGAACTCCCCGCCACTGTTGCGTCTGACTTAGGGGGCTCCTGAAGAGAGATTTTGGGGGAGGGGAAGCCTTGGACTTATAGGGCGCGCTGCTACTTGTCAAGCCCCCCCCTTTGCTCTTCAGGGGGGTTGATCCTCAGTGAGAGTACAGGCAGTCCTCGACTTACGACCATAGTTGAGCCGGACATTTCCGTCGCTAAGCGAGGCGTTTGCTAAATGAATTTCGCCCCCGATTGACGACCTTTCTTGCCACATTTGTTAAGCAAGTTACTGCGGTTGTTAAGTGAACCACACGGTTAAGTGAATCCGGCTCCCCCATTGACCGCTTGTCAGAAGGTGGCAAAAGGGGATCACGTCTCACACACACACACAGATACTGACCCGTCATAAATGTGAGCCAGTTGTCAAACGTCTGAATTTTGATCACGTGACCGTGGGGATGCTGCAACAGTCATAAGTGTCAAAAACGGTCATAAGTCATGTTTTTCAGTGCCGTTGTAACTTTGAAAGGTCACTAAATGAATGGTTGTAAGTCAAGGACTACCTGTGTTAGGTAATAAAGGTGGGATAAAGATCAAATAATTTTGGGTAGGCCAAGGGGAACTGGAAGACTTCTTTTCTCTAGCCCAGGGGTAGGCCACCTTGGCTGTTTTGTGACTCATGGACTTCAACTCCCAGAATTCCTGAGCCAGCATGGGGGAATTATGGCCCCTTCATGACTGGTGGACTTCAACTCCCAGAATTCCTGAGCCAGCCACGCTGAGGGGAAAGGGAGAGGTTTCCAAGCTGAGCCATGCCGGCTCAGGAATTTTGGGAGTTGAAGTCCACGAGTCATAAAAGAGCTAAGGTTCCCCACCCCTGCTCTAGGCCCTAAAACGGTTGCAAGGCAAGCCTCTGTTTTTTGTGGGAGGGAATCCTATTGGCAGCTTTCCATTTGTCTGCCCCTGAGAGCTGGGACGTTTTGGGTCTAATCCAAACATGTCAATATTGAGGAAACCCCCCCCCCCCGCAAGGGTCAGTGGAACCATCTAAGTTATCATTCATTGTGCAGTCTGGGAAATGTTTGGTTTTGGCATTTTTCCCCATGTATCAAGCCTTTCCCAAGGACCTAAGATAGGCAGATGTTGTTTGTATTGGTATTGTACTGTTAAAATAGTTTTTATCAGATTATTTTCCTATAATAAATGCTTGGGGGTGGATGAACAATTTCGTGAGTTGAAGAGTTTGGGGACAATGGCTTAACCTCTCCTTTGGTCTGCAGATCTATGCCCTCAACCGGGTGATGACGGAGCTGGAACAGCAACAGTTTGATGCCTTCTGCAAGCAGATGAGGGCTTCCAGTGAGTGACAGCCAGATCTTCGCTCCCCACACAAGACTTCACTCAAGGTCTGGACACTGGACCACGGTCAGTGGCCTGTTAAACCACGGTGAGAAGCCCCCAGACCCTTTTTTCCTCTGGGCTACGGCAGTGCCTCTCAGCCGCTTCCAGGTCCACCAAAAGTCCTTGCCAAAATGGACTTTCTTATTGTTTGAACTGTTTTTTTAATCCTATTTATTAAATAAATGTGTTTTATGTGTGTGCAAATAAATATCTGTCTGTGAGACCAAAGTCCAGTGCAGATATGGTCAGGACCATTACGATACTTCCAAGCAATCCAAAAGTCAGAAAAAAGTTTTCCCTCCTTCTCCCTCACCCAAAACAGATTCAAGGTGTGCTGCCTCTTCACTTGGAGGCATTGCTTGTAAGTCACTGATGGGTAAATAAATGGAGAAGAGTCCTGAGGCTCTGATTGTTTGGTGTGACATAAAGTTCAAATGATTTCTTGCTGCACAGAAATGTTATTTTGTATATCTGAAACCTGATGACCATCCCTTCCCTCTTTGCTCAAGGTTTATAAGAAGGGGTTTATAAGAAATGTTGAAATTTGTGTGGTAGTAAAGAGTGTAACACTACAGCCTCCTCCCTCCTGCTCCAGACCTTACGAATGCCTCCCTTGCTTGTCACAGTTCCCAAGCACACACACAGTACAAAACAAAAATAACACAACAAAATCTCTTCATGGTTTTCTAAGTTTAATATTTCCTCCAAGCACGAGAACATTAGTTTCAAGTATAGTTTTCCAATGACACAACGCCCTCTTCCTGCTTTCTTTTCCTCTGGAGTTTTTAATTAAAGAGCTCTTGGGAAAAGCCCGTTTTCCAAATGTACTTCGTTACCCTGATAAATATAAAAAACATTAAAAGCGCTACCTGGCACAAGCATTTGGGACTCCTCTTTTCGCAACCCAAATCTAAAATTTCTGCCATGATTCTGGCAAGAATTGAAGTCAAGGTGGAATTCTAGATCGCAGACCTATCAGTAAGGTGTGTACAAAGGATTCCTTTGGCAAAGCTGGGCAACTCACAGATACTGGCAGAAGTTTACACCTCCCTTTAGCTCCTGACTGGTGGCAGAGGGATGTGTGGTGGGAAGGATGCCACGCAACTGGACTTTGTTTTTCTTTGAAGACATTTCGCTTCTCATCTAAGGAGCTTCTTCAGCTCTGTTTTCATGTGAATTTGATGTATCTGTCCACGGAGTTCAGACGTTTTGGGGAACACTTCCAATTCCTGTGTTTTGATCTTGACCCAAGTATCGTCCACATACTTCTAGCAGGGTGGAATTCCTCTGAAGGAGTTTAGTCCAGAGCTGAAGCAGCTTCTTGGATGAGAAGCAAAACATCTTCAAAGAAAAACAAAAGAAGCACCTTTGGGACAACTCTGACCTGGATGACGGAGAATTAACTGGCCTGTTTGCTTGGCAATCTGCTTCCGGAAGTCTTTCTTTACACAAGATGGGGACTTGATTTGGAGGCCCAGCTGGAGGGAATCATTCCCAAACTGTCTCCAGCAGCAGTGGTGGAGGTTGGCTTAGATTCTGGATGGCACATTGAGGTTTTTCAGGTGTCCTGCTTCCTGTCTACTCTGTGGAAAGGCTACTCACCCACGTATAGAACGTGTGCACAGATTGCAACTTTCTTGGAAAGCAGTGGAGTCTTTCAAAGAGCAAAGAGTTTGACTAGCAGTTGTGGGTCAAAGGTAGTTTAATACCATCTCGCCCATTAAGAGCCGGACTTTGCTCTTCTGCTACTTATGAGGGCCTGGATAACAAGAGGGCAAGTCACGTGAGGGGTAACTTCCTCTTTCTCTTAAGGGCCAAATTTGGCTCCGAAAGCAGTGGGAATTCCTTCTGCCTCAGTACCAAGGTTGCAAATTCAGCTCGTTCACTTGTTGCAAAAATCAGGTTAAAGAAGGGCGGGCCTCTGATGTATCGAGAGTGAGAACGTCACAAGAGGGGAAAGTGGCAAGAGAAGAGGTCTGTATTCAAGTTTTCCCCTTGTCCCTGAAATCTATCAGCCAGTAACTGATACTGGCTTTAAAAAAAACAACAAAAAACCGAAGCAAGAATTTTGCCTCTTAAAACTATATTGCACTTTATATATATATATATATATATATCAGTAAAAAGAATCTGTATATATCTACACTGACCAAGGGCTCAGCATGTTAGCCAGCTATTGACTTCGTTCCTCAGGCAACAGGCAGCCCAGCGAGGGGAACGCTGCCAGAAACAAGGGCTAAATCTCCCAGACGTTTTATCACCTCAGGGTGATGAAAAACTTTAGGCAAAATGTGGATTTTTTTTAACACTGGATCCGTCCGTCTTCCCAGTCGCCGAAGACTGCCTCGGCAGGGTGCAGTGCTGGCATCGTCCACGCAACGTCCACCGAAGAGGTTAGACTTTGTAACTCCACAAAGTGTTGGGGAAAAAAATGTACGATACGGACCAAATCAGGAAGTAGACAGAGGCCAGGAAGGAGGCGTGAAACAGGAGCACCAAGATACCTACAATGGCCAAGAATGAAAAGAAACATCTTGATGCGGCGAGCTAGATCGGATTCTATATCCCTTCCTTGGCACCACCACGTGATATTTTGAAGACCCGTCGGATTTCAGTTTTAGGCCATCAGACACAACAGTCTTGTGCCTCCAGATCACAGGTGGATTCCTGCTGCAGATTAGCTGATTTATGGGGGCCAAAGTCCCGTTAGTCCTGCTCTCTGGAGTATCAGCGCACCTTTGCTGCAATCCCCACCCATTCAGGGTTTTTTCCCCCAGAAGAAACGGGAGCAGTTTGTTCACTTCTGTTTACCCTAAAGTCTTGCAAGGAAAAAGATCAACTGGAACTGGGAATTGTGGAGTTTGAGATTCAGAAGACGTGAGACAACATCAGTAAAGACCTCACTGTCCCCTGAATCCAGGCGTGTTTGCACATTTAAGCACAAAGGGCGCTTAACATTTTAATTTTTCCCCAAACCGAACCATTTTAGCTTCTCGCACCATACAGTCTGTTTTTAATTTTTATTTTTAGCCAGCTCTTCCTCTCCAGGGTCTAATGAGACTTGCAGTCTCCAGATTTTGGAGCAATCAAAGGTCCCTCTAGATCAGAGGTCCCCAACCTTTTGGGCACCAGGGACCGGTTCCGTGGAGAGAGGTTTTTCCACGGATCGGAGGGTGCGTGGTTTTGTGTGCTGCCTGCATCCCACGGATGGGACTTTGCTTGTTTGTGCGGACTGGTTGCTGGCATGCCGCGGCCCGGTACCGGTCTGTGAACCGGGGGTTGGGGACCCCTGCCCTAGACTCTTAGCAAAACGGCTTCTGGGCTTTCAAAGACCAGCTCAAACTTTTAGAGGTGATTAGTTTGGTTCAAACTATGTCTGAATCTCCAAAGTGACTGCAAATAAGCCTCTTTTTTTTTTTTTTTTACAAAGAGAGACAAGCTTAGTCTCGTGATAAAGGAACGCCTTCACATTTGATTTCCATATTGGGCAGGCCAGGAAAGACTCTGGACATACCTCCTGCGAAGATGGCCTTTTTCCAAGCCTGGGACTCCAGCACCTTGTCATGGGGGTAGAAACCCTGGTCCACCATGAAGAGGATCATCACTATCGCCATCAGGCGCATGGCCACGAGGTGACCACCGGTCAGGAAGTAGGTGGCAGCTACCATGGAGGCGCCATAGGGGCATGGCAAACCCCGGTACATAAAGGGCATCCCTGCAGATGAAGAGGAGGAGAAAAGATAGGCACCAATCCACGGAGGTGCAGACGTAGTCCTGTGTCCCCTAGCCACACACACACACAAAAAAAAGATGGGCTATGTTGTGTCATCACACAGATCCCTTTGTGCTGTTGGATAGGTTAAAATACCGGCTGGAAGTACGTTGAAAAGCGCACCAGTTCCTTTAACGGAACTGCGGCACCCAGAATCTTTTTTACAAAGCACGGAATCGAGACGCCACTTTTCCTGTCTCTCTTCCTCTTAAACCTGGCAATGACTACTTGTGGCATCAAAGGGGGGGGGGACAACTTTTTAAAAGCCCCCCTCTGCCCCCCCATGAGATCCTTTCCCACCCAGGCTCACCACTGGAGAAGAAGCATAGCCGCGTGAACACCGCCAGCACGTAGACGATCACCAGCAGGCCGCCGAGGAATCCGTGGGCCTGGAGCAGGAGCCCCGTGGCCAGGCCAAAGGACGTGAAGTCGGCAAAGTCGTCCAGTTTAGCCCCTGCAGGGCGAGGCGAAAAGGGACGTGGTTAGTCTCCCGTCCAAAGCCAGGATCTGCCCACAGTCGCTAGCCGAGGACAGAGGTCTCAGCTTTCATTCATCAAAAATGACATTCAAGCCACACTTAAGACAGGGAAATGGGACCCAGCTCCAGGCCTCCTTCGGTTTGAAAGAAGTGGCCCGTTGCTCCCTAGATAGCAGCCACGGACTTCTTGGAAGGACCGAGGCCTCTCCCATCCTCCCGTGGCTCGGTGACGTCCTCTTTCATGGATTCCCCCTTGGTGCCTCTCTTTAAGGACCACCTACTCTGTAGCTTGGCTGTTTCCACATCCTACAACGTCTGGAGATTGGCCAGATCTTGGTGATCCCTAACTAAAGTGAGTTGGAGGGGAAGGCCCCAAGGGGAATGGGGGGACTCACCCAAGGCAGAGCAGGCGTTGAGTTGCCTCGCCACAGCTCCGTCGGCAAGGTCCAGCACGAATCCAGTCAGGACTAGCCAGCAGGCGTAGTGGTAATGCCTGGAGGAGAAAAAAGGCAAGATTGCTTCCTGCCCTGGTGTCCGTGGATGCTCTCCCCGTCTCCCACCCACAGCAGGTGCTGCCATCCCTCTCGATCTCTGGATCCAGAAAGGCCTGGGCAGTAGGGATTCTCTCTGTCTTGAATCCAGATGGATCCCAACCTTGCCTACGGAGGCAGAAGGACAGGACTGCAGCTTGGCTTAGCCAGCACTGCTGTGTGAAAATATACAGCTGGGTGATCACCGTGCCCTGCAGTTCTCTGCAGTGGCACAAGAGTGGTGCCAAGACCCTGGCTGGGATCTTTCCAATCCGCCCAGTGTCGATCCCTCCTTGAACGGAGAGAACCCCGGCACAGCTCCGGGCTGACCTTCCACCTACCCGTTGAGGCTGCAGAGGACGGAGGAGAGGCCCATGAGGAGGTTGGCCATGGAGATTGAGTTGGCCGCATTCTTGCGCAGGAACTCAACGGTTTGCGCGCGGCCTGCCTGCTCCCTCAAGAAAAGCTTCTTGGTGTACTGCAAGACTCCTGGAAGACATCCGAAAGAGTGAGAAGCCGAGAGGATCCCCGGGCCAGCCGCGAAGAAGTGCCCGGAGCGCCTCCGTCCCGTCCCTCCTCAGCACGCTCCCTTCTCGTTTACAAAAAGGAGACATTGGGGGGGTTACAAGACCAGCTGCGTTCGTCCTGCGTGTCGGGAGCCCGTGTGCGTTGGCAGAAACACGCAGAGGAGGCCAGTTCTTTCCCAAGCGCCGCTTACACACACACACACAGTTAGTTTATTCTGCCCATGTGCATTATACCCTAGGCTGCACAGGCAGCCAGCCGTGTCATCAGCCTCTGAAGCTGCCTCTCCCATGGCGAAACGGCCGGCCAGCCCGCCTGGCGGAAAAGGCGGCTGCAGCAGGAGGGCAAGTGCTGACTCAGCTCTGGAACTCCATGGATGACCGACTGCCTGCATTTCCAGCGACCTGGATTCTCTGCCTCATTGGGCACCTGCGGGCAGCTGCGGGCTTTGGGTCTCTCTCTCTCTCTGCCCAGAGGATTTCACGTGGTTCCAGATAATAGATCTGAGATACGGAGGGCGGTGCAGAAAGGAGACCACGTCAAAAGGCCTGGGGGTGGGGCAGGAAGCGCCCCCCTCCATTTTGTTCAGGGCCTCAAAGCAGTCCCAAGATAAAAGGGCAGGGGCAGGGATGGCGAGCCCCTTCCCCGCAAACGAAGCAAAAACACCCCATTTTTTTTCTGTCACATGGCTTGGAACGCATCCACGTATTCATTGGCCGGTTAGTTTTTTTGAGTGCAAAAACGCAGCGGTAATAATCACTGAGAAAGGAGCAAAATTCAAATCAAGCACCCCTTCCGACTGTTTTAAGCTTGCAGTGTTCCATATCTCAGGGGCTGCCCCAAAGAAGAGGGAGTCAAGCTATTCTCCAAAGCGCCTGAAGGCAGGACAAGAAGCAACAGATGGAAACTAACCAAGGAGAGAAGCAACCTGGAACTAAGGAGAAACTTCCTGACAGTGAGAACAATTAACCAGTGGAACCACCTGCCTCCAGAAGTTGTGAATGCTCCAACACTGGAAGTTTTTAAGAAGAGACTGGACAGCCATTTGTCTGAAATGATCTAGGGTTTCCTGCCTGAGCAGGGGGTTGGACTAGATGACCTCCAAGGTCCCTTCCAACTTTATTATTATTATTATTATTATTATTATTATTATTATTATTATTATTATTATTATTATTATTATTATTATTATTATTATTATTAACTATTTGTATCCAAATCGGAATCCCAGGGAATCTGTGGGGAGCCCAAGCTGGGTGCCTCTCTCTGAGCGTTGAGGTTTTTTCCCCCTCTTCTGTTCCTATGCCAGACTTTGCCCCGGGGCCAAACACCCAGCTTTCCAAACAATCTGTTGCCACAATGCCACAAACCACTGGATTACGTATTCATTGACCAGCTTTTGTGGCTCACGGTCTTCGGACAGGCACCCTCAGCAGGCTCTGTTCAAGCATCACCCTTAGCCAGGCGAGATGGGAGGAGGGGGGGACACAGCAGTTAACTTCTAACAATCAAGACTGTAAGCCTGGCTCTGCCAGATGTGCTTAGCTTGGGTTCCCAGGGAAGATAACGCAGCAGGACAGCCCTACCAGGATAGGTGGAAGGGAAGGGAGATTAATAATAATAATAATAATAATAATAATAATAATAATAATAATAATAATAATAGTAATAAAGCTTCCCCTTATTGCCATCTGCCCCAAGAATAGTTAATAATAATAATAAAGTTGGAAGGGACCTTGGAGATCATCTAGTCCAACCCCCTGCTCAGGCAGGAAACTCTATACCCTTTCAGACAAATGGCTGTCCAGTCTCTTCTTAAAAACTTCCAGTGTTGGAGCATTCACCGCTTCTGGAGGCAGGTGGTTCCACTGGTTAATTGTTCTCACTGTCAGGAAGTTTCTCCTTAGTTCTAGGTTGCTTCTCTCCTTGGTCAGTTTCCATCCATTGCTTCTTGTCCTGCCTTCAGGCGCTTTGGAGAATAGCTTGACTGCCTCTTCTTTGGGGCAGCCCCCGAGATACTGGAACACTGCTATCATCTCCCCCCTCGTCCTTCTCTTCATTAAACTAGACAGACCCAATTCCAGCAGCCGTTCCTTATATGCTTTAGCCTCCAGTCCCCTAATCATCTTTGTTGCTCTTCTCTGTACTCTTTCTAGAGTCTCAACATCTTTTTTACATCGTGGTGACCAAAACTGGATGCCGTATTCCAAGTGTGGCCTTACCAAGGCCTTGTAAAGTGGTATTAACACTTCACGTGATCTCGATTCTATCCCTCTGTTAATGCAGCCCAGACCCAGCACCAAAGGGTCTTTGGGGGGGGGGTCCTGGGTTGGTATAGGCTGGGGTGTTTTCTTCTGGGCTGGCAGCCTTCTATGGAAACAGCTGTGTTTTCTGCCCTCCTGCAGCACTGGCAGCCCTGCAGAGCTGGGAGAAAGGGGTGCCCCTCTGCTTTGCTGGCATCCAAGGACGGGTCCCCTCAGGGCAATGGAAGCCGAAGAAGGCCGGTGCGGTGGATGGAAGTAAGTCTCAATTGAGCTCAATTCCCCTTTCACCCTTTGGGGACCAAAGCGGACCCCGTTGCCTTTGGGGTGGCTTCCTTGCTGGATTCTATGCCCCCCTGGTTCCCAGTTTATTTGGGGGGGGAGAGGGGAGGAACCGAGCTATTTCTGCCCGTTGCAGACCAGCCATTGGTGGGGGAGAGAGGAGGCCTGGGTGAAGGGGGGGGGGTGGAGCTCTGCCTCTGACTTACCGGAAGGGGGCGATACCATCCACATTGTGGTCAGCTGTTCAGCCAGAAATCCCTGCCCACTGACGTCTCTGAAATGGATGAAATGGGGCCCGTTAAGAGGCCTGCCTGCCGCTTGGCAGAGGGAGCCATGAAAACAGAGCACAGAGGGGTTTTGTCCGCTTGTAAACAACGAGCGAGATTCACCTCCCTGGCAAGCCAGCAATTCTAGCATTTTCCCAGGCTGCAAGCCATCAGTCCATCGCGCTCGGGGGCAACGAGGTTTATTAAGAAGAGGGTGGATGGGGTAGGGGAAGCCCAGAGGGGACTCCCAAGTGGGGTAGATCATCTAATGGGGCTGCAGCCAGTTTCACCGAGCGGTGACGGCCTCCAGGTAAGAAAAACCAGGCGGCGGTGAGTTCTAGTCCCACCTCAGCCATAAAAGCCCGCTGGGTGACCTTGGGCCAGCCCGTCCGTTTCAACCTAACTTACCTCGCACGGAAGCTGCTTAGGGTGAAAAGCGAAGGAGGGTGGAGGATCAGGTATCGCAACCGCCTTGAGTTATTTCTAAAAAATAAAAATAAAAGCCAGGATGAAAATACCTTTTAAAAAAAAGAAGATTCTCAGCAGAGTTCATCCCGTGGAGTGTGGAATTGGCTGGAGCATAAAAAGGAAAGATCTGGCAGCGTTGCCCATTTGCCCGTCACAGCTGTTGGCAGGGCAGCTGGCAAACGGCCTGGAGGGCACGGTGAGCCTTCCCGGTTCGCCTGCGAGGATCCCGGCAACGGGTGGGGACGGCTTGTTTTGGGGAAAGACTGGGGGGTGGGTGGGGTTGACTTCAGCGTGCCCCACTCTGCGCTCTTCGCCATCCTCACCACCCTCTTTTGGTTTACCTGCGAACAAACAAGGCTGGATTTGCCCCAAGGGGGAGACCTGTCGGGTGAAGACCAGCCCATTTTTACTGTATGGCACAAAGGTGGTTTCTAACTAACTCGGTTTGGCGACCCGTACCAACATACTCCGCAGGGTCTGATGGTGGGTGGGGGGGCTGCAGAACATTCCAGCGTGCCTGAGAAATGGACGCTGCGGGAATTGGAGCCGGGGATTCCCCTGGCAAGCAGGGAAAAGCAGAGCTTTCGTGGACCGGCTTGTCAAGCAAGCCTGGGAGGGAGGGAGGGAGGGGGAAAAACTGGTCCCTGTGCACTCGGAGGCCTGCAGGCAGAGGCCGGAGGGGAGCCAGTCAGGGCCTGGGAAGGACCGATGCCAGCTGGGATGCTATGGGCCTGGGAAGGGGGTGGATTTAAGTCCCCAGACCTCCAATGGGAGAAGAGGCACGCATCCCAGGGCATCCCAGGAGTTAGTGGGCGTTGGATCTCACACACCCTGGCCCAGCCTCCCGGGCTAAATTCCTTCCAGCTGACTCCTCTTGGATTTCTGCACTCCTGGGTCAGTGGGTTTGGGGACAGAGGGTTCAAAGGGGCGGCGAGGGAAGGTGGGGCGAGAGAAGGCCCCCTGTTCGGATCTCCCTGTCCTCCCCTCCGCCGCCTTCCCCTCCAGGGCTCCCAGGGGAGGGGGCAACTTGGGGAGGGGGATCCAGGGCAGGTGGAGAGGCTCGGATCTCAGCCGGCAGAGATTCCCCACCAGGATGTTGGGGGCCCCGCCTGCTCCTCAAAAAAGCTGGGCTGGGTTGGAACGGGGGTGTGTGTCTGCCCCCACCTTCGGGGTCGTCCCGCACAGCCCCCTGTAGACTCACCCCCGCAGCCCTGCTGGGATTAACGGAGGCTACGGGAGCGCCCGAGGGTGCCCCCCGACCCAGATTCCAGATTCCCCCTGCGCATCCCTCCCGGGGTGCAGGGAAAGGGCCCGGACGGGCGCCCTGTTGGAGCTAGACTGCCCCCGAAGGTGGAAGCTCCACCGGCCGTCCTCCCAGCCTCGGAGCGCCGCCCCGACGCGCGCCCGCCCGCCCGTCCGGCTCACCTGCTCTTCTTCTGCCCCGGGACGAGCGCGCCTGCTCACCTTGCGCCGCGCTCCGCAGCCGCCCCGTTTGCCCCGAGGCCTCGCGAACCGCTTTTATGCTGCGCATCTCTGCGCCGCCGCTGCTCGGGGAAAATTCCACTCCGAGGGAAGGGGCGGGGACAAGCCTCCCCCCCCTCCGTCGCCCGCCCCGCCTTGCTTTGCCTTGCCTTGCCTTGCCTGGCCGGCTCTCCGCGCAGCAGCCAGCGCCGGAGCCCGGAGGGTCCTTCCCCGCGCGCGCAGGACAAGTCTTTTCCCCGTCTCGGCACCTGCCAGTCAGGATGGGGGAGAAACGAAGCCCCTTTGCCCCCTCCCCATTCCCTTCTTCTGGCTCCTGGCGTTGTCTGCTTGCAAAGCCCCCCCCCCTCCCGCCCCCAGCCTTGGCATCTCTGCCCTGGGCAGCTCCCCTCTCCCTCCCCCCCTTCCCTTCCCTCCCCTGCCAAATCAGAGGTCTCCTTTTGCTGGCAATGAAAAGTGGCAAGGTAGCCTCTCCAACGGAGAGCCCCAACCGGACCCCCAGCCTTGCTGGTGAAAAGGATGGGCATGGCTTCCCCTACCCTGCTGCCTGTCAAGTCGGTGCCTTCCTCTGCCTGCCCACTTCCGACATTTAAGATTTCTCTTCTTTCAGCCCATCTGGTACCTTGGCACCCATCCCTCTCTAAAAAGATACGGAAGGTAGAAAACCGCGCGTCTCCCAAATTCCCACTGACGCCCCACTGCCTCTCTCCGGGGCATTAAGAGGGCATTTTTTTTTGATAAGGCCAGATCTTTCTCTGTCGCTCACAGCATTGCCAGTCCTCCGTAGGAGGGCTCGCTGGAGAGCGGTGTGGTTCTGTCAGGGCTGGATGCCCCGTGCGGGATCTTTACCCAGCAGTCAGGAGTATCCTAAGTTATGCCTCTCCCCCACTCTGCGACTGTCATGCCCCCTTCTAAGCGCAGGGGGAGGGCAGGCAACGTGGGCCAGGGTGGGCAACTCCTTCCCCTTCTCAGAGGCTCTCACGGTGGGCAGGTCTGTGTAGAATAGGACTGCAGCCAGCTCTCCAGGCTCCAGTTGAGGAGGCATCCAGCCAGGCCCTTGCAAGGAGCTCTCCATCCACAAGGCCCAAAGGCAAGGCAAGCCCAGGCCTGGGGTGGCAGTGGCAGTGGAGCTGACTGGAGAGAAATGCGGGAAGGCCTGGGCGTCGTGCCACCTTGCCCAGGACTTCAGGAAGGGCAGAGCTGCTGCACATTTGTATTTCCGACAATTTTGCGTTCCTGGCTGAGATCACGATCCCATCTCAATCCAAATGTTCAGAAGGATTCCCCTCCTTCTCTTTTTTTTGGCACCTGATTTTTCTTTTGCAGCTTGTCCTTCATCGCTCTACTCTTAGCCTCTAAATCTACCTCTAACTTAGTGGTGGGCCACAACCGTCCCCCTTCCCACATGCAAATTCTGCCAAGTAAACAAACTTTGGACTGGATTTGCATCTGTTTAGAACCCAGGGTTAGCAACTTAAAACGACAAACGTTTGCAAGATTGACAAGTGTCTCTTTCCTCCTTCAAAACGTTGGGAAGTCAATTTAGGTCAGCCTTCATGCAATGAATAAATGTTTCTGGCTCCTTACACGGAGAAGAGACAGCAGTTCCTCGTGGTTTTATCCACAAGCTCCTGGTGATCCCTTTTGAGTAATTCCCACTGAAAATGTAAACCCATTCGGCTTTTCCTGGTGATGTCTTCTTTTCTGGCTGGCTTCTCCAGAGATGGCGTTTTTCCAGAAAGCCGGACAAATTTATCTAATGTGTGCTGTCTTGCATTCCCTTGCATGGTTAGCTGTGAGGGCCTTGTGTTTTCAGAGACCCCAGATTGAAACAAAATTCGAGAAGGTGCTGAAGAGGGATAGAATCAAGATCACGTGAAGTGTTAATACCACTTTACAAGGCCATGGTAAGGCCACACTTGGAATCCTGCATCCAGTTTTGGTCACCACGATGTAAAAAAGATGTTGAGACTCTAGAAAGAGTGCAGAGAAGAGCAACAAAGATGATTAGGGGACTGGAGGCTAAAACATATGAGGAACGGCTGCTGGGATTGGGTATGCCTGATTTAATGAACAGAAGGACCAGGGGAGACATGATAGCAGTGTTCCATATCTCAGGGGCTGCCCCAAAGAAGAGGGAGTCAAGCTATCCTCCAAAGGCCCTGAAGGCCGGACAAGAAGCAACGGAGGGAAACTAATCCAGGAGAGAAGCAACCTAGAACTAAGGAGAAACTTCCTGACAGTGAGGACAATCAAGCAATGGAACAACCTGCCTCCAGAAGCGGTGAATGCTCCAACACTGGAGGATTTTAAGAAGAGACTGGGCAGCCATTTGTCCGAAATGGTATAGGGTTTCCTGCCTGAGCAGGGGGTTGGACTAGATGACCTCCAAGGTCTCTTCCAACTTTACTATTATTATTATTATTATCTCTGGAAAAGGTTCTCTTTCTCCTTCTTACGATTTTCCATGCTCCAAAGGTGCTGAGAAAACTAAGCTTTGGGAAGTCAATTTTGGTCAACCCTCATAGAGAAGACCTTCAAGGTCCCTTCCAGCTTTATTCCGATTGGTTGAGTTAATCACGCCTTCGGTGGTGCTCTGTGGTTGTCGGAATTCAACCTCTCAGCTTTGTGCCTGCGTTTTCTGTTCAGGACCCAGTTGCTTCTTGGTCTTGGCCCACATCAGGCCAGCTGTTTTCTGGCTGGGCCTGGTGAGTGGGTGATGGACAGTGTTGGGAGAGGCCAGAAGACAGGGTGGGCTCTGCAACCCCAGAGCTAGCACAGGCTCCCGGGGTTGTGTGAAGGGTGCCCCATGTTCAAACTGTTTCTAGCCTCTGTCCCCCCCCCCCCCAAAAAATAATCTGCAGCCAGAAAGGAGAAAATAAAAGCACAGTTCAAGAAGGCAGAAATCCATTTCCTGGCGTGGTGTGTGAGCTCAACCTATTGGGGTCTACCAGGCATTAGGGTGAAAGAACCATAGTGGTTAGAATGCGCTATTGCAGGCTCACTCTGCATTCCCACTGCCAGCAGTTCGATCCTAACTGGCTCAAGGTTGACTCAGCCTTCCATCCTTCTGAGGTTCATAAAATAAGGACCCGGATTTTTGGGGGCCATAGGCGGACTCTGTAAAAACTGCTTAGAGAGGGCTGTAAAGCATTGTGAAGCATTGTCTGAGTGCTCTTGCTATTGTTTTTCCCTTCCTCCCTTCCTTCCTTCCTTCCTTCCTTCCTTCCATCCATCCATCCATCCATCCATCCATCCATCCATCCATGGTATGCAATGGTTAGACTCTGCCCACTGCCAGCAGTTTGATCCTGACCGGCTCAAGGTTGACTCAGCCTTCCATTCTTCCGAGCTCGGTAAATGAGGACCTAGATTGTTGGGGGGCAACAGGCTGACTCTGTAAACCCACTCAGAGATGGCTGTAAAAGCACTGTAACGTGGTATATAAGTCTAAGCCGTATTGCTATTGTTCTTCCTTTCCCCCTTTCCTTCTTTCCTTTCTTCTTT